TTGTATGAAATTTAAATTCGAAGTTTAAATAGTTTTTTTTTAACAGCGTAGCAAATTAATTTGTTAATCTTCTGATCATAATTATATAATAAATATTACGGAATGTTCTTGACAGATTTTTCACGATGAAAAATGACAAGATGAGTTCTACTTATATCATTGGAAAAAGCAATAATAAATACTTTCCTGTTCATTGTTTATCGTTTAATATTATTAATTTTTACTAGATAAATAAAAAATAGAATTGAAACTAAATAGTTCATTGTCATCTCATGAATGATTTTTTTTGTATGCATGGAATCAGGTGATAAATATAAGATCTTCCTCATCTTTTGTATATACAGTTACATCTAGAAAATGCATGTATCGAATAATTGGAAATTGTACTCAGTGCTTTCTTTATTTTTTTTAAAGTTGATCGTAAGTGGTTAAATAACCCCTATTTTCTTCCAAGCAGAGGAAATGAAAAAGTCATGAGCGTGGCAGGTTCATGCGTCGATAATACACGTTTTATCATAGACCCGGTGGATCAGGGACGAGCTGAAGTTGCAGGATGCGTGTGCGTGCGCGTGCGTGTACGCACGGGGCGTCACTCGATTCGTGGGCGTTTTTTTGGGCTCGGAAAGGGGCGAGTGAACGGTGGGTGGCGGGGATAGGCCGTGTTACCCCAACGTTTGAGAGAGGCGCGTAATCAAGGCGTTTACACACAGTTGCGTTCACACGTAGGACAACGTTCCTACTTAATGTCTTCTTTCTATCTACCTCATGTCGATCTACCTCACGGAAATAATCTTCCAAAGTAGAAATAAATGTTTTATTGATATTGTTATTGTTGTTGTTATTCTACTGGTAATACAAGACGGTGACGTTTTGAATTTTGTTTTTTTTTTTTTATTTTGAACGAAATGTAACAGTTTTGTGCTTTTTCTATTTTATAAAACTGATTTGTCTTGATATATTTTATCTGTTACTTTTAAAATTTGCAAATATCCGATATGTATTTTATGTATTTTATTAATTAGTTAATTTACTATTTAAAGTATTCGTGCTTTTTGAAATACTATCGGCGGCAATATCAGTTTGCTATTGTTATTTTTTAAATTAATTTATTCTATAGGAATATGTTTTGATGGTTTTAAAGAATATTTAGTACATTTTGTAACTTGTATGTGGTAAAATATTCAATAACAGATTGTTTCGAATTGTATCTATAGTAAACCACGTGAATTTCATTTTTATAGCAAAGTTGCGCACAGATTTAAATGTTAAATATATTCGTCATCATTGTGCTTGAAATCAAGTACATATTCTTTATTTTCTCTAGAACAGATATTATTGCATTTCCACCTTCTCATTGTCTTAATTTTAGTAAGGTATAGATATCGTTCTAAAATCTCTTAACAAAAAATGCAACAATTTATTATAATTATGATAGTTATTAATTTAAGTCTTTACATGATAATTGTTTAGATTACAAGATTCGTAGCATTACAAATAAAATTTTGACAAAATGTCAAACAATTTTTCTATTGGGGATTTCTATAATATATTTGCGATTGTCTCAATGGTACATTAATTGCATAAATAGTATAAATTTGTAATGTTATGGTTAATTATTTTTTTTGCTCTTTCTAGATTAATAAATCCGCAGCAGGGCAGAATGGTAGGTTACTATCGAACGGAACAGATCTCGAATATCACGATGTCGGTTAGCAACGAAGTATCGACTGTGGAGACACTAAATACAGTGAAAAGTGTCGTGTGCAGCCCGGATTTAACCGCGTACACATCACCGACGTGCGGTGCCGAGACTCTGTCGGCAAATGTCGAAGACAAGCCATACCAGTGCTTGCTGTGCCAAAAAACCTTCAATCAGAAGAGTCTATATCAGAGCCATCTGCGCTCTCATGGTAAGGAAGGAGAAGATCCTTACCGATGTAACATTTGCGGGAAAACTTTTGCGGTACCTGCTCGACTGACTAGACATTATCGTACGCACACGGGTGAAAAACCATACCAATGCGAGTACTGCAGTAAATCGTTTTCCGTAAAAGAGAATTTAAGTGTGCACCGGCGTATTCATACAAAAGAGCGACCTTATAAGTGTGACGTGTGCGAACGTGCATTTGAACATAGTGGCAAACTGCATCGTCATATGCGGATTCATACCGGGGAACGGCCGCATAAGTGTACTGTCTGTTCAAAAACGTTCATTCAAAGCGGACAGTTGGTAATCCACATGCGTACACATACCGGGGAAAAACCATACGTTTGCAAAGCCTGCGGAAAGGGATTCACTTGCTCCAAGCAATTAAAAGTACATACACGTACGCATACAGGAGAAAAACCTTATACTTGTGACATTTGTGGCAAATCCTTTGGTTATAATCACGTGCTAAAATTACATCAGGTTTGTTGTTTGTTTATTTGCTTGAAAAATCTACTGTAAAAGTCAATTTATGTTTCTAATATAAATTCTAGATTGTATAATTGTTTAATTTTAATGTTGTTTGTAGTATTAAACTCGTAACAAAAACGTGGTAAATGTTTCAGGTTGCCCATTATGGCGAAAAGGTTTACAAGTGTACTCTTTGTCATGAGACTTTTGGTTCCAAGAAAACAATGGAATTGCACATCAAAACTCATTCAGATTCATCAGTCACTGGTTCTCCTCGGGACTCACCAATTGAGCCAGATATTGAGATCTCCCAGGCAAACAGTGTGAGCACTATTAGTGACAAGGAGAACCACAAGACTGAAGAGCAAAACGATGACGTTGCTACTTACAATGACACTTCACAGGATTTTCCATACTATATGTATTCCAGAGAGCAGTATTCACAACCACTTCTGGTGCCTAGTAAAGATAGAGTTTTTCAAACGACACCTGTGGTCTGTATGGAACAGCCTCACTTATTTTTGTACCCAGAAGTTTCTCCGACATATACCAGCTTTGGAATTCAAACTAACAACTTTGTCAGTGACTGTTCATCTCTTCTCAATTTACCAGGAAATGATGCTCGAAGAAGAGTTGAGGCTGCACTTGAAGCGGTTGAAGAAGAAAGACAGAGAGAGTATGCAATCAGGGTTGAAAGAGAACCCATTCTAACTCCTCCAAGTAGCAATCCTGTGAGTCCTGTACCTTCGCCAGATCCTCTTGATTTGGCCATTCCTGTAAGAGAAACATTAATTCTGCCTCCAAGAAAGCGTTGCAAAATGATCTTGGAGTCAATGGAAAGTGAAAGGAATGGTCTTATTGCTTCACAGAGGCAGAACTCTGTTATTCAATTTGCAAAAGCTTCATAGTGCAGAGTTTGGAAGAAATTTATGGTGAACCAGTGAGACATAATCCAAGTTTTGTGAAAAAGTATAAAGGATTTAGATGCATCTGTAGAACAGCGATGGGCTAAAAAAATTCAAGTAAAAAATATTAAACGTTATTGCTAATTGTTGAATTGGTCAACCATCTTAACAAACTTTGCATTTTGAAATGTAAAGATTAAAATGTGACGAATAGAAATAATTTTAATGCAATGACCAGGTATTTCAATACTATTATAAAAAACAAACAAATTTTAAGACTTAAATTTTGCACATGATATTCGAATAATATAGAATCAAAACAGAAAAAAATAAATAAACAAATATCGAATGCCCATCGCTAAGTAACCGAGGAGTTTTGTGTCGTAGGAGTAATGGTATAGCGTTGTCGCAGATTTTCGCCGCGAAATATTACGATCTGAATTAATTTTGTTTCCATACCGAATGTTTACTATTCATTTTGGATTTTCGATTTTCTTTAAACTTTCAAGTATTTTTAAAAATCAAATTCGTCACAAATAAGTAATGAATTGTAATATTTTTTTCTAATAGAATTATATTGAACTTTTTACACAGTGTAAATAAAAAATTGACAATTAAGTTGACAATAACTTCTTCTGTATTTTAACGAATTAAGTGAAAGTTTGAAGAAAGTTGAAAGTCAGGCTAAAAAATGTCCTTTTCAAGCCTTAAACGAACCAATAGAACAATGTTCAATAACTTTACTATTTGAAAATATAATCCAGAATACTTTGTAGTCCAATTAGAATATGATAGAGTGGCTTCGTTAATTTGAGAATTCGACTGGTTCCAAGAATTTTTTACACGTACCTCAGGGTGAACGTCATAACACATTTACAATTAGAGCTCGCCAGCATGTAATTTTTCATCGTTTGAAAACTGCCAAAGATTATTATAAAGGAAATGACAGTGTGCCTGGTTAGGAACCTAGATACAAATAAATTATTTCAGTTTGACAAATTGATTTTATGATTACAAGAATGAGCTCCAATCTGCAATTGCGTATAAATTGAAGGTAACAAACCTAAGATTTGCATATTTTTTAATGTTAAATAATTTTGTTTTATTTTTAAAAATGTCTTTTGATTATATTGAAGAAAAAAGGCATTGTTTTACTTCTTTCTATATTTCTACATGCAGCTGGCGTGCTCTGTCTAATTTTTCATATTTCACGTTATGTATATGTTAAATATGTGTGTGTGTGCGTGTGCGTGTATGTGTGTACATTAATTAATTGCAACGGATTAATGTGAAAGTAATGAACATCGTGGGTCACTGTGGCGCAACTAGTATCATCATTATAAAAGGCCTCGGAATGAACGTGATCGAGATAATTTTTAAATTAATATGTTCATTTTGTCACTTGAAAAAATGCAAAGAACATTTGATATAGATGGGGAGATGTAAAATACTTATTTCGTTTGTAACGTTTAAACATGATTAAATTATTAGATATGAATTTTAAAGCAGTAAATTTGAGCAAATTTCTTGACTTGTCTGCTGATAAAAGAAAAGACGAACAATTATTTCTTTCAAAATTTGTTTAAAAGATTTGGAATGAACAACGAAATGCGTTCATTTCTTTTGAAGTCTATGCCACTGTCATAAAAAATGAATAACTTTTTAAAAATAATTTATTCTTTCCTTATTAAGGTTAAATCGAAATCTTATATATGTTTTGTATATTGTAATTATTCTACGTCCAATGTTCATGCGAAGATCAAGAATTCCAATTTCTTGCCAAAACTTACAAGACTGACACCAGTCTAAAGAAAAATTTTATTTTAATGATTTATTAATACGACATGATAAAGGTGATATTAAAATGTAGATAATTGCTCAATTTCGTCGTCGTTAGTTTTGTATTGTTTGTTTAAACAAAATATTTAAGTGATTCTTTATAACGATTTGTCATTGGATAAGTAGGGAACAAGAAGTATAAGTTGCTATACAAATTCAATTTTAACTTTCATAAGTAATAATATCTAGTTTCAGCGCGAAAATGGCGCTAGTTTACTGTCACATAAATTAGTAACAATATTTAATCTTGTAATAGTTTGTGTCTTAATTTTTCTAGATTATCATTTTCTTTGCTTCTTAATAAATTTATGTAATTTATTCATTGTCTTAAGTCGGATCACGTTGATCTATTTAATGTTATCGGTTTGTTTTAAAAATCTGACACGACGAAATTCGAATTTATTTATGTTATCAGTATCTTCATTTCAATAAATCTTCAACGCTAATTGCGTTAAGATTACTTTCGATACAACAGGTTGTTCTTTAGTGTCTGTAAAATGTTAAGTTTTCGTGTTAAAGTGAATAGTCGTTTATACAAGAGGCCTTAACATTCATTGCAAAGAAGGTCTAGTAAATAGTTGATCAATTATCCGTTTCACTAAACTTTCAAGATTAAAAAATCTGATTACAGAAGCACATTATCTTCAAGTACAAAAACGTTCAGTCAATTTCACGATTCGACAAACGTAAAAATTAATATTATATATATTTAATTACCGATGCGTAGTATTGACCACCTTAAGAGGCTCGGTTTTAGTGAAACAGGTCTTACTGGAGTAAATGATTCCACATTAAAAATGGAGTCAATAGAAAAGAAAGTAGCAAACATTGATAAGGATTCCATTATATGCCAGAATATTGAGGGGAGCTATGCTCACTGCCAGTACAAGTATGTGTGTGTAAGCATACGTGCAAATTTAATGTTAAATATTAAATTGTATTGTCACAATTCATAACTTGAAGCCATCTATATTTACATTTGGCACCACTCCAGTATGGCATACAGAATGTTTTATAAATTGAGAATTAATTTAATGGATGATTCTGCAAAGTGAATGAACAAGAGACAACAATTCAGAAAATATTAATAGATTAAAAAATGTAATGAACATACAAATTATATTTGAACTCTAATACTGCATTTATAATTACATTCAGTGTTATATGACCTTAATGTAACAAACAAAGTTTCCAAATTTTAACAAACTAGTACTTAAAATTTCACTTTTAAGGTCTTGTTTCAAGAATATTTCATTCAGTATCTCAGTATTTGCTTTCATATTTATAAAGATGCACCGAATGTTAAAAGTTGTAGATATACTGGGTGCTTGAATCTACCACTAATTTTCAATCTATGATTTATATAACAGCTTGCGTATACACTGAGCCATGTTCATACTAATAAGTAATATATTTATATAGAAGTTCATGTATATTATGTTCTTTTTTTTTTGTTTTCTACAAGTGTAATTTGACACGTGGCCTATTCATATTTTTTGAACGTTCCAAGCATTCAAAACGATATTTTTCTTCTTATATGCGAATTATATTCTCATTGATCATGTAAATACGCATGACGTGAAATTTATGTGCAATCGTATATTTAAGTTCTTAAGAAGCTTAGTTTCCACTTGTTTTTGTTTTATTAACTTGACAAAAATTGCTTTTAATTAAACGAATACTCGAATGTATTGTTATATGTTTTAATGATTGTTTTATATACATATGTTTGTGTGCGTACGTGTGTGCGCGCGCGGGCGTGTGTGTGTGTGTGTGTGTGTGTGTTTATACAAATAAAAAATGAGGGACAGGGGAGGAGAGAGAGAGAGAGAGAATTGAAAGCGCTTACAATTAGCTTAGACTTAACATTTTTTTTTCTTTTTTTAATCAAAGGTAGGCCACGTGGTAGTATATTAAAAATGGATGCAAATTGTTAAGTATTATGATAATAATGAGAAATAGATTGAAATGTGCAGAGACAACACTAGTGTAATATTGTAATTATCTGTTATTACTTATTATTTTTAAGATGTAGAAATACATGCCAAATGGGACGTGTTTTGCCCCATTATCTTGGACATGCAGAACTGATTACACATAAAGAAAAAAAGGTTTTTGTAAAGATTCATTGTCCACAAGATGTTTCAATGAAGAAGGAAAAGCACATTTTTGTAAGAGTCTAATAGGGATGAAAATATTTTTTTGTTTTTGCGCTTATATATATGTATATACACACAGGGTGTCCCAGTATTGATGGTACAACCGAGGAGGGAGTGATTCTACATGAAAAAATAAGTCGAATATATAGAATAAATTTTTCTCATTTGAGGCTTTGTTTCAGAGAAGATCGGTTTTAAATATTTTTCGAATACGTGTGCATTTAAATATGTCTTGACTTATGTTTGTACGAATAAGTGATACCAATGTCATGATTAGTACCGATAATATATTTATTAACGATTTGCTTAATTTAAATTTACATTACTGGACGAATTGTTAGAAGTGACGTTCTTGTTAACGCATACAAATCCTTGCTTTTTGAATCAGAATCGTGGACTGATGATACGGTATCTTGATGCTTTAATTGTTTGAAACCTTGTACGATCTTTTCGTGTAGTTGCAGAAGATTTACACTATTTTTTGCGTAGACTATTTCTCTACGAAATATGACATTACTACGGTTTATTAACATAAAAGTACGAGCAGAAGCAATAATTTGTAGAGAATGTTTGAATTCAATTTTTTCGAAAGCTAAGCTTTTTATGAAAAAAAAAATTATATATAT